TTATTGCCTTGTTGTTATTGGAAAACACTTAAATGATTGAACTGAATTGAATTGAAGCTAGAATCCAATATGAAAGACTCAAGAACATTTGTACGTGTTCGTATAAAGTTGTATCCTTTTCTTCCACTTCAAAATTAGCAAGTCACCAATTCTTAGATAAATACATTATATTATTTGCATTATAACGATTAAAAAATGTGTAACAAAATGCTAGTCCGAATTCTTAGGGTCTTGCCTCTTCTGTTTTTGAAGCGAAATTTTTGCTGCATGCAACACCTGTCGCCTACTTCAACATTCAATAATTCTGAATTACGCCCATTTGATGTATTTATGGATTTCACAGGATTGTCGGAACAAACAATTATTTTCCTGAACACCATTCGTGTTCAAGACGCATTATGTTTTCTATGCAGTAGGAACAGATTTTTTTAAAATAATATGTGGACGATCGTCATACCATTATAGTCAATTTCACTGAGGCAAACACAGAAGTCAAAAAAGTTAACACGACGCACTTGCGATAGCATACGGAGACTGGCCTGGCACTAGAGCCGGTTCGGACACAAATTGCCTACTTTTGCCGATTGTAACAATAATTATCAACGCGTTATAATGAGGATAATTGTGCCGTTTCCTGTTGGATTTCAAATTCACTTGTGCTCGGAATCATGGACATGGCTGGTATGAAACGGCATGAAGCTCAGTAATTATTTTGCAAGGAAATTCAAAGCAGTTTTTTAGATGGTCTTTCTTTACTCGCATGCAGGAAATGTTGTGTAGTATCTCACCTGATCACCTGCTGAAACAGGGAAACCATTTGGGGATTATATGAATTTTGTTGGCATGAATCCGGGCATCGTGGATACCACTATAATACTTCATTCACAATGATCAGGAAGTGAATGTAAACACGTGCCTAATAAATAACGGCACATTTCTGGCTTCCTATCGATCGTCAGATGAGGAACTTCCCACGAGCACTGTTCACAATGTACTGCGTTTTGCCCAGAGCATACACGTAAATATGGGTTTCAAATGATTATCATAATCAACAGCTATTCATATTTTAGAAACATCAATTGTCAATTGATAGGCCTATTTGTAATGAAGACGCACTGTATTTTATTTGAGATAGGAACTTGATTTTTAAATAATAATAATAATTAAGCAAGTTTTGATTGGCAGCTTGGATGGAAATCATCCGCTGTTCCGGGATTCTGAGCCTTTTGGATAATATTTATGATTGTGTGTTCACTACTTCAGATTTCCCCGTCATTCTTGACGGGTAATTTATATATTTTTAATATTATTTAGATGTGCTTTGTGCTTCTAAGGATTAATAGTACTGGCGCATCGTCCAGCGACACACAGCTTGTCTCTGACGCATTACAACGCAACCTGACAGCGTTCTTCTTTATCCTGAAATTATAAAATGGTTGAAAGTAAAGCAGTCTGAATATTAGCACATCATACAAACCACTCGAATATCTCTGACCATTACAATATCATATCCAAGCAGGGAAAATTCCAACAGCGACGGGGGCAGAGGAATTTTCCTCTAGCCTCTGCGTCCAGACCGGCTCTGGGGCACACCTGGCCTCCTCTACAATGGGTACCGGAGTCCTTTCCCGGGGGTAAAGCCTTGCCTGGGCGTGACGCTAACTATTCACCCGCATCTAGTGCCGAGGTTACGAATGAGTAGGAGCTATACCGCCTCTCCCCCCAAGCGTCTATATGGTGAATAGTGGAACAGCTTTTTTATTGTTCAAAAACTGTAGTGTCCAGGGACCAACATCCGTCCGTCCAGTCGATTCTAGAACCACTGGACGGATTTGGATGAAATTTGACGTGGAGGTTGTGCTGCTCTGCACGACTTCAAAAATATACTTTTGAATAACCTGCGAGCGGTGATAACAAAACGACGGACGAAGAAAGTAGTGAGGTAGACATTGGGGTGCTGCGATCTGACTACCAAAGTGAGAATATCGAACAACGCAGAGCTTGTTTTTAAATAACTGGTTAACAAAGTAAAAATGTTTGATTCCTGAGTATGTTTTTTGGCCATTTCCGTACCAACATGCTTCAAATATTGAACATTACCAACTACGAATGATGGGTTTGAAAACAAACTTTGTTAATAAACAATAGTGATGGCAGTGTGACCAATGCAACAGCATTGTTACAAACAATGCATAGATTTGGAGGCACTTGCTTTACCACTGCACCTCGCATATCGCAACAAAGTACCAGAATTATAGTCAATAGTATGTTTTATAATTAACTTACCATTATTCCAGTAAATCATATTAATCAACGTCTGTTGTTCTAAAACATCATTAATACATAATGTCTTCCTGCCGTCAACTTAAAGTAATTCAATGTAAAAAGCCACATGATTTGGCACCACTGTACATAATGAATGCAACATGACTAGAAAACAGTTATATCAGAGATACAACAAAGTATCAGAATGTCAAACTCAAGTTAATCTGTTTTATCATTATCTTCTTATATAAGAATATTCTTACATTCTTTAACATTTGTATGAAAGGAACAACAAATCTAAAACCTGTGACAGATGGCCAAGCACTTTGTTTTCACAACTTGGGGTATCTCCCCTCTCTGACCCTCATCCTTCTCCTGTAAGGAAATGCCATTAGTTCTATGGTAAGCTGAGCTGCAAGACTGTACTCACACTGGATCATATGATAGGTTTACTCTGCACTGCAAAATTACTGTGCTCACTACTGGTTTCTGTACAAATCACTCACTTGTGGTCATTTTGACAACAGTGTAAGTGAAAAGTAATGGCCAGCAGAACAGATGTATGGCTTAACAGAAACGGAGGCGATTTTTCTCAAGAGCAGTGGAAGTAGAATATGTACTATAGTTCACAAATTTTTTGAGGTTTCAGATCTGTTGGTCATGCTGTACATACATACTTTCCAAAATTGCCATGAAACATAAAGCTGATACATTAAAACAAACATAACCAGTGCTCATATTATGACAATAAATGTTCCATTGGCACTTCAATATGTATTATGTACTGTACAATCCTTATTGAAACATACATTTTTAAGGCACTCCATTACAAGTTTCATCACATTAAACAGAACATAAATGCAAATATAACAATTTCATTATTCAGAAACTCCAGTCTTATTTTGAATTAACTTTATATATTAAAAACAACCTAGGAACAAAATAACACATACTACAAAGTATAAAATTAATACCTGTTCCAGCAGGCTCACCTCAGTAAAAAGAGCTACTTCACTTACCAAATAAACATACTCAACTTTTTCAGCACTACCATTTCCTTATACACAAATTTATTTTACAGCATTCTTATACTGTGGGAGCAATATAAACCTACATACAAAGATGGGACTGCTGAAAATAACTGTGCACACAAGTCTTACAAACTTATATATATAACCCTCAATTAGTGGAGTATAAAAATGACTGAAGTACCATAAATATCACTTAGTCCTTTAATATTTATCATGACTTTGGTTTCAGTCCAATTACTTATGTTATCCTTTTAAAGTGTCATTTAATACACATCACTCATACATCTCCCTGTGAATAAGATAATCATGCTAATACTTTTGAATTGTTATCAGTAATACATGAATGTATTCCCCGTAATATATTAGACAAATTAAATATTTTATTAGAGAAATATGAATCTGAGTTACACAATCTCTGCTTCTCTTTGTCATAACTAATTTAACTCCTAAATCTCCAAGCATAAAATGTAAACTTACGTAATGCCCAAAAATCATTCACACATAATACCTTCTCACACAGGAGAAATGTTCATGGTAAAAATAATTTAATTTACAGCCTTCTAATATATGGCAATGATAGATTTTAAAGTAATATGCCTGGTACCCTGACACTTGTGCTACCTTTCACTTCTGGTGGTAAATATCAGTGTCTGCAATATTTAAATTTGTTCACTTCTCATATGTAAAGGCTTTTTTCTCTTTGAGTGAACATTATTAGAAAGTATCTGGATGCTAGAGAGCAAGACGTCGTGTCACTCAATGTATTACGCACGGTAAAACATGATGTTGTATTTGATACGAATAAGCTAGACAGTCTATATCTTCCAGAAATGGGTTTCAAATTTTTAACAACTTTCTCTATTGTTAGGTGAATTAGAAACTCAATAACTACCCTTGCACTCATCTGGAAATTTTTCCTTGATTCGATTCGAGACATCTACTATTCTACTGTGTTTTGTTCCATTTATCTAGGTACACCAACTGACTCCACGGAAAAGAGTCCTTCCTGAGAAGCCGATAGTTCGCTCAGACAGTCAAGAAAATCCGCCTTTTACGGAACCCAGAGGTTTATTCATTAGACACTACACCAGCTTCCTGGTGGCACAGTCGGTTTAACCACTAGGCAAACTAGGCGGTTGCCTAGGGCTGCAAAATTGTGTGTGGGGGAGGGAGGTTAAACAACGGAATGAACAGAAAATAAATATAAATAACATAAAACTGAATATAATAAACGCCTAAAATAGAAAGAGGAATCAGAAGAAAAAATAAATGTGTTCGTAATATGTCGCCAACAACCTACTTAGTTTTGTATGCAATGGTTTATGTGTAAGTCGACGCATTTTTCTTCATACAAAGGCACACTATTAATTAATGTACAAAGTTTGCTTATGGCGCCAAATAGCCTTGCGCCGGCCCTGGTTGGTGGACTTCAAGTATAGCGGTCGCAGTAGTTTTTGGCCGGTGGAATACTCAAGGAGTGAGTCATTTGAACGATAGCATAATGCAGAGGTTCCCAAACTTTTATACCTTGCGCCTCCCTTAAAACATAAATGTCACGCCCCCTTCCAGAACAAGTGCAAGCAAACAGATTTGACATAAAATTTAGCTATGATTATACATTTTTTTTATAATTTAGTACATATTATTCGATGCATTTAATTTAAAAAAACTGTAATAAAATATACGCTTCATACACTGACTGACCTTGCCACCTCAAGTTCACAGAGTAGGTCCGTCAGCCACCTCCGCCGGCCAAAAACTACTGCGCCAGCTATAATACAAAAAACAAATCCTGGCAGTTATGATTTTAAAAGTGTGTAAAGAGAAATTAATGTTTATAAACTTTGGAACAACAATGCAACGCTTGTAACAGTAGTTTAGGCTTAAGAGAATGTTAAATGTAAGTCATCTTCAAGAGAAAGAGAAACGATTCTTGAAACTTAAATGTGAGAAATTAAAATCTTAAATAAGAGGCCTATTTAATCAAAAGAAATGCAGATCGATGTCAGCTATTCAGTAAACAAATTCAGTATTGGGTTCTCTGCGGTGTTTAATTTCGAAGTACTTTAGTTTCTTATTGAAACAGAAGATTCTCTGGAGATCATTTATATATAATTTTTGTTATAATGAATCCTCTTCACCTTCACATAATCGCAGCTATTCACGGCCGGTCACGAAACTAACATTCTGGAAGGGGATCACAGTTTTTATCAGCCCTTTGGGACAAGTTCTGGGATAAACGTCCAAACTGACATCATTCATAATTCATGGCGACGAGACCTAGCATCGAGGTGTAGTGGTTAGCAAATCTGTTTCACATCCTAGAGGTACCCGTTAGAATAACGGTCCACCAGAGAAATTCCCGGGTAGTAGGGAACCAACGCTCATAATTATCCTATTAAGTTCTGATTCGACGCAAAATAACGCAAATAATTGACACACTAAGTGAATTTTCAGAATACTTATAAAGATCTTTAACTTCAGAGTAATGGTGTACAGAAAGAACTGTGCTCACCAAAATGTAACCTAGAATATTCGGGAGTTGTATATTACGTGCTTTTCCATACACAGAACAAACAAGACCTTACTTCTGGCAGCCACTGTCTTAATATTGCAGTGGAAAGCTCTCTCCAGGCGCTGCAATCTCGTGGGGAACCGCCCAAGGTCTCTCTGTTGCTGCTTGCGTGACCACTTCACATGAAGCGAAGGCACGCGAATTGACATCCGAGAGAAAAACGAATTACTTTTCTCGTAATTAAAAGGCCATTTTTATTAGCTAACAAACTGTTACATTGGTTGTGGAATGTTACAAAGCGATGTGTACGTTTCACCAATATCTCCAGTTGTGGAACTACTTCCGGATTCCTGTCACAGAAACCTTACGTCTTCGTAAAACAGTTATTTGAAAGAAATCGATATCTGCACCTTCAGTTTAACACGTGTTTGCCTCATGATTGTTTCCCTCTGAACGCTTAATCCTTTAAAATAAATTACTTCGCTGGGTTATAGTTGGGATCGAGCGATAAAGCTCTAGGAAGGGACGATACGAATTCCGTCCAGCTTATTGGCCGTGCTGACAGTTTTCCTTCGTATGTGGTTCTTTGAAATAGACCACGATTGCCTCCGTCCAAATAACTTCTCCTCAAATATCTAATATCCATGCCCCGAGGGCATTAAATAATTAACACAGTACCTTCACAGATATAATTAAGGTTATAAAATTTGTCACATTTTGTAGTTTAAGAACGGAAATAATTGGCAGGTCTCGTTTCCTTCTGCATGCAAGAACTTGGATATATTGAGTCGATAATGGTCTTCTGCCATGTTTGGTGGGTCTTCAGGTTGCGGATAAAGGAACAGCCTCCGGTTATGGAGGTTAGCTGCGAATATATTGAATAAGCAGTCGCGGACTGCTGATGAAGGGTGGTCCTTCAGTTCGGCAGTTGGGCGTGAGGCTAACAACCTTTCACCATAAAAAACAGTATTGTTACGCAAAAATTACCAAAGCCTCGGACCTGGACGGACTTTTAGAAATAACAGGGTGGAGGGCATTGGTGAGTTCGGTGATGAAACTTCGTGTTCTGTAAGTCATCTTGTTAGTTAGTTAGTTAATGGTCTTCTGGGTTGTGATGCCGCGTAGTCTGTTAGGTGGTTATTTACGATTCAGAGGAACGTATCTCGATCGACTTCAGTGTGAAGGCTTCACTTCATTCTGAAAACGGAGTCTACATGGTAATTCGGATTGTTTTTAGTCACCTAACAGACCACACGGTCTGACGCATAAAAAGATTACTTTGACCATCGCGAGAAAATCAAGTCTTTTATCTACTGTGTTTCTTACTAGCAGTTCAAGTCATGTCAACTACTGACATTTCTGTATAATGCGAGAACTTTGTATGACTGGACACATCCTATATAATTATAAAGTGATTATTAAGGTGGTAGATAAAGCTGAACAGCAAACAAAACATCTGGACGCGAAGTTAAAGTTGGCAAGGCAAAAGGTATCCAGAATTCAGTGCGTAATTAAGTATGAAAACTCTGGTCGGAGATTTACCACCAAGCTGAGGCTTATTGCCCGCTCTCTCAAGGCCAAGTATCACACATTGAACAAGAATACGCTGCAGACCATCAAGCAGCACTCTCTGGACAAAATACGGGCACTAACCGCGGACAGGAAGAAGTTAGTGAAACGTTATAGGGCGGTCAAGGAGAACACCATCTTTCAAGGGCACTCTTAAGAAGACTGAGCAAACTTTGTTGCTAAAACGACATACAGACAAACCCATACATGAGACCTTCTTTGTGAAAGCCAAAAAATAGGCTTGTCGAAAGATCTGACGTTCGCCTTTCTAAGGTCGGCTAGACTGAAGTCTGAAACCGAGGGTTTCATCTTAGTGTGCCAAGATGGTGTTGCAAACACACTTGTGTACCGCCGAATGGTGATGGGTGTGGGGGTAGCGGATATTCTCTGCAGGGCATGCCGAATGCAACCAGAGGCGCTGATGCAGCTTCTGTCGACACGCCTACATTCATCGACATAACGCTGCTTTACGTATACTCTGTTACCACCTGAGGCACTTTTACGGCATAGATAAGACCCCCGTTTTGCCGTACGCTCCTGGGGACATTGAGTTCGTCGTTGAGAAGGACAAATGTAAAATTTATTGGAACTATTCGTTCCCCACTACCAGGCAGTTAACAGCTACCAAGCCTGACATCGTTCTCATCGATGCCTCTGGATGCACTATGTATGTCATCGAGTTTTCGGCCCCGGCTGAAACTAACATAGTTGTGAAGGAGGCTGAAAAACAGACCAAGTATCAAGACCTTGTGTCTGAGCAAAGACAGCTGTATCCAGGATTCACTGTCAAATTAGTCGTCCTCATAATCGGAGTTCTTGGAGGAGTCAAGTCGTCACTGCTGGCTAACATCAAGCTCATTCCGGCATGCCAGCGCAACGCTGAAGCAGTACTGTCAGCCTCATTCAAGAGACGCTCCGACTACTGCGTGCACACGATCCCAACTCACTGTAGCCGCCCATCTCGAGCTCCGAGCCATGGCTACAATTTCACCTGGTCTACAAGCAGTCGAGATATGACGGCCAAAAGGCCGAAGCTTTTGGCTGTTTGTGGACCAGACAAACAATCGATTCACAGTCACTCAAAAAATATTTGGCCAACATCCCAACCGAACACGACATTAGGGAAATTCGAAAAACCGCCATTCTGGAAACATCAAACATCTTATAAAAGACGTTGAAGTAAAATAAAATAATGCCTCACATGAAATCTGTATAATTCATGTATCACATATCAAAGAACAAATTTTATTTCAGAAATAGCTGCTGGATTTTCTACCTCACGGGCAAGGGTTGTCTTAGGTACATAGAAGTAAATACCCTGAAAAATGGTGAATAAATTAAATAATAATAACAGCAACAACAACAGCTTCCACGATATCAAAAAGAAATTAGTAACATCAGTCTATGAGTATGAAGTGAGACATGACATGATTGGATTCAACATAAAGTTTGTGAAACATTAAGAGCTGAAGACAGAATGAAACGTAGATTCAAAACCAATGAAGCATGCACAGTCTACGCCAAACTGCAGCGTATTAGTTCTGCCGTCGGTTTATCTTGGGAATCAAGTAAATAAAACACACCTGGTTATGCCATTATATCTACTGTGTGGATACAGATGCAATGCACTCTTTGCACTGACCTCTCGCGTGTTATCTTCTGTGTTTTGATTGGCTTAGATAATTTCACATAATTTTTATGAAAACCTGACATAATAGGTTACGCGTTTAACGTCGTAAAATGAATCCCACCTTTGAGGGTAAGGAACCACATATGAACTGTTCTATAAAGATAGCTAAAACAACTCCATGGAACAGAGTTATTCTCCAGAAACTGATAAGTCATTTAAATGGTCAAGAAATTTACCACCATTAATGAACACGAAGGCGTTTTCAAGAGCCCGCCATCAGACCCCATCCTGAACAAGATTAAACCAACCCAAATCCTCATATCCTACATTTAACATCCACTTTAATATAATTAGTAAAATCTTCCCGGGCTCTTAACCATGTCAGTTTGTTAAAACTCAAGATTTTAGGGACCAACTCAGGCAGATAGACCAGGAAGATTTTGTTAATGCTAGTCGCCGTTTAGATATTACACTAAAAACAACATCAATAGTACTCATAATAATAACAAGAATAAGGAACAATCTGTAGAGACGTTTAGAATGAGCCTGGCAAACAAACTAGACATATTATGACACAGAACAAAAAAGTGTGCCATTCCACCCGGATTGAATTGGTAGACCTGCGCAAATGAGGTGAAGTAAAGTAAAAGAATTTCATCACAGCAACAAACTAACTCGGTGCACGTGAAATATTATACCCAATCCGTCCTTCCGTTCTTGGCGCAACAGGAGCAAAGCTAAACAATCATCGTGGTTCAAGGGACTCGTTTTCACGGAGACCCTTGTTCAAATCTCGCCCCGAAAGACAGCTGTACTGACTGAGGTACGTATTTCATGGAATTCATGTCCCTCCAGACAACTGCCGGTGTAGTACTTTAAAATAAGTTTCTTTTACTTCATTCCACAGCTTTTCTAAACCTTCATCCACCAGTTATTCTTCCATTCCGTGTTACAAATGTAGACAGTTCATAAAGCGCCGTTAAGTAAACAGTCATTCAACAAAATCACAGGAACGTGAATTTAATAGATGAAAATCGCTGTAGAAAACACCTACATTTGAAGCAGCACATATTTTAAACAGGACGTAAAATTTTAAATGTTCCAAGCATGCTTGTATGAAGGTTAGGAATTGCAAATGGGCGAATTGAATGTCTTCAATTAATGTAAAGAACGCCTCTATTTATTCACTATTAATAAAGTTTCATGTTATAATAGTCATATTATCACGTCTCGAAAACGTACTTCAACTATCCAAAGATTACAAGTCAGACACAACTGCCGGCGATACGTGGAATTAGCTAACATTAATATATTAGACATTCGGTAGGACTCCTTGGACGAGGGATCGGCCCGTCGCAAGGCCTCTACCTGTACACAGGACAGCACAACACAGAAAAACAAGGACAAACATCCGTGGCTTGAGTGGGATTCGAACTCACGGTCCCAGTGACCAAGCGGCACAAGGCCCTCGCCTCAGACCGCGCGGCCACTGAGACCCGTAACATTAATATGTATAAATCAAAACGAAATTCGACTTAAGTTAAGGCCTACACGATAAAAATAGAATAACATTGCCAGAATGACTATGAGACTAATTAGAAGACTTTCAAACACTACTTCTACGTTACACTGACAATGAGTTGAATCACAACTAAACCTCTGATATTCAGACAAATATATCCATTATTTATGTCAGGTAGTTAGTAGCCTTCGTCTTCAGGGTTGAAGTAAATTGCCCATTGATCTCTCCAAGAGACTTACTGAAAACGTAATATTAAATATTTTACTTACATAAGACTAAACTGATGTAATTCAATATTTTCTAAAATGTCTTTTTCTCGAATTTTGTGGCCATATGCACTAGTCCGCATTTTACAGTAAATTTCCGGATGGTTGTGGTTGAAGTCAGTAGTTTACAATCGGAAATTTAGTAACTGGTAATTGAAAATATATTTTCAACGACAGTTGTTACAAACATTGTCAGTAAATTAGAATATTAAATTCAATCACTTATTAACACTACACACAAATGTCAAATATTCTGGAGGTAACATTTTTAAAGCCTCCATTTTCCAGTTGCTGAGAAGAATTACAATAATAAATAAACCCTTATGAATACTATCTTCTTCACGAACAAGGCAACGTAATGAATGTATCGGTTTCAAATGCACATTCTAAGCTTTTAGCTTCATATTTATTGTCCACCCTGTTGCTGTAAATGAGCAATTCTTCCTTTGGTCATTTATCTTTATAACATTTAAAAAAAATGAAATGGCAAAACTACTGTAGAATCAAATTAGACTACAAACCAGCACATGGGTGAAATGGACGCTTTGCCCACTGAGAGAAGTTTTGTAGCCTACATCCACACACTGTTCATCTTAAAATTAATAACAATTTATTCTAAACCGTTCTGAACATTTTCTCTTCATCGGTGTCAGAAATGAAATTGTACAAGTTCATTGCTACATCCAGTCGCCGGCTTAGAGCAGCATCGGATTCTGCTGTGCATTTGTTTGCCATTTAATAAATTTATATTTCAGATTTTATGAATGAAGACAAAATGGTCGAAGACAAAATTTCAAATCAATCATAGGTTTTTTAAAAAGTAGATTCTTTTCTAAGGGCTACGAAAACAAGCGTTAAGACTTGAGATTAAGTGAAGAATAAAGCCATTGCAAGGACACAGCTCCGACTTTAGGGATGGTCTTCTCATGACCCTGGACTAAAGAGGGTGACAAACCCACTTCGATATTTCGCAAAAAAGTCATGTTAACACATAATTGTTAAAGTACGCCACTGCCAGATGTTAGGAACACACACAGCAGTGAAGAACATAAAATTAAGAAACACACATATAACATCGCGTTATTCATATTTTGCTTTGTGAGCCCCAGTAAGCTTAATACAATTTAAAGCAATGCAATTATTATTTGTATCACCGTCGGCATCATCAGCATGCAAAGGCTTCAACGAGTTGTCACTTAACATATAAATTAACTACATAAACATCTTGGATTAACAACCTGCAACTCTGTATTTTTCCCACAGAATGTATTTGTGGGTTCCGTATGATTCTAAGAATAAACAGCGATTATTTCGTTAGACATTATAAACCAACTGACCTCTTCAATGAAGACTTTTTTCTTTGCTGTAGAACTGAATTTTTAAACGTTATTTAGAACAGCTTCGACTTCGGAGGGTTAAACTGATCTGAATGGTTGCTATGATGAGTTTAATTTTTATACGCTGTGCTGCTTATTTCAGACTATGTTTCAGTGACAGAACTAAAGAAAACTGGCACACACTAATAGTTCTCTTTGTGGTCAGTTACCAGGTCATCAAATTTTTAGCAGTGATTAGAACTGAAAGTGGGTTATGGGATATTTTCTGTATTTGGAGATATCAATGTTTCGGAGGAACATACTGCCACTTTCTTCAAGGCTTCTATTTATAAACAAGGTTACAATCCAGAAGACCAATATCGACAACAAAATTTATTTCCTTATCCTTTCTAATTCATACTGTACGAGTCGTGTAGTCTGAGCGCCTGACAGTGCCTTAAATAAACCATGAATAAGTAAACAGATAGGCCTAATAATGAGTTATCATTAACAAATATAAATTAATAGCTCAAATAATCTGCAACTCGTTTCGTTAAAGTTGTACTTTATTTTCCAGGTTAGTGGTCTACATTTTAGCTGCGAGACTTACAGAGACACGATTTTAAGCGAGAGAAAGGAGTGATTTTCACTGAAAAACGCGTCTATCTGAGTCTTGACATAACTAACTAACTAGATGGCTTACGGAACCCTCCACCGGACCCTGTCCTGGGCCAACAAAATCCAGTCTCCTTCAACTCCTATCTCCCATAGATCCCGCCTGAGATTATCCTCCCATCTACGTCTAGGTCTCCCCAGCGGCTCTTCCCCCCAGGCTTCCCAACCAATACCCGGTGCACACCTCTCAAAATAAAATTCAAGAAAGAAAACTGTGGTGGTCAGTTTAATTAAATGTGACAGTTCAGAGGTAGGGCGGATTTTTTAGATAGATAATTTGTGTCTCACTGGAGAATAAAATGATGTTTATAAGGGATTTATATTTTCAAAAAACACGACGATCGAGTGGACATTAATAACAAACGTTGCGTTAGAACGGGCTTCTTTTTCGGGAAGTCCATTTCTCATCTCAAGCTGAGCGCAGTATTCATTTGCACTAGGCTGCATTTATCAGTTTATCATTCACAATCAAACTTTAATTTATCATTTTAAGACATCGTAAACTACGAGTTACTAACAGTTTTATATTTGGTCGATTCTGCAATTCACACTTCAGCCTAAATATACTCCACACTCCTCAGAGAACAGCTCTTCCTGTTGTGAAACAAAAGTGAACATTATTTTCGACAGATTTTAATCGAGCTTCAAACAAATTAACAGTACATACCACAATCTAGATTACATTTGTAAAACTGTACTTGAAACTGAAACTCGTCTAAATAATACTTGAAAATTAAGTGCGTACCGCAAAGAAAACATCACAATTCATCATTACAAAAATCAGCTGGTTAACTCTGTTTGGGGAAATTATCTCTGTTTACAATGAGAGTACAAAATGAAGAATTGTTGATTGTTGATACAGTTGGCACACACAGCATTGGGCTTTAAATGGTTACATAAAAGATGTCATAACAGTTGCGTATAAACCATTACATTACTCACCCTAATTCTCGGTGCACGAACACTTCTATTCAATTCCAGTTAACTAACTAACCTCTTGCGAGTCGGTTATCAGTGCAAAAAGTGGTGTAAGGGGTGATCAGTAGCTGAAGCTGTCTGTGGTGTGCACGCTCAGACCGCGGCCTGACTCACCTCACTGTAATGGCCACGGCTAGAAACGCCAATATGTGTCCTGGTGGTACCGCGTGCTACTTGAATGACGGGCAATTACGATGCATGGCGGCGCCGAGCCTGGCACTTCGGCTTTTGAGTGTTGTTTACATCTTACGACGAAGACCCGGAAAGGAAAGCCCGAGCAGTTTGGCGGAGTGCCAACTTGTACTGGGGAAGTTTCCGAGGTAGCTGCATTAGTATCCCCCCTCCCCGTAAATGAGGAATTATGCAGTAAAGTAGGCCACGACCACTTTATTTTCAATCTTCCTCAGATGTCTCTTTTAGTTGATTCTCTCAAATCGTCACTGAAAATTTTTTGCGGTTGATACGACGTGGATGATTTATGAACTTAATAATCATACTCATAAGTGAGCTTTATTTATATCACAGAGAATTCCAATCCTATCATGGTGTGGCTGCTTTTTGATGTTTTTGTTTTGAGGGTTACTGATAGAGTGATTTGTAATCCATTCGATAAACAGGTTATGTTTCTCAAAAGCACAAAATAAAAATTTAAAAATGGAACTTGATTTAATGACAGCGCATCACCAAATAAATCATAAAACAAAATTAAAAGTAATCTAAATGCAATAGTTACCTTGATAGTCTTATTATTACAATGTCCGGAAACGGTGTAGCTGTCAGTAGGCCTATAGTGACTTAGCTACTGGCTGGAACGACCGGGGCATAAATTTGTCCCACAATAAGTCATCTTCACGCCAAGACTTTCGTGGCTGGTTACTTCATCGCCTGGGTAATGTATAGTACGCGACTGTAATCTTGAGACTTGCAAGGAATGCAGGAAGCACGAAGCGTTAAAGGCTGACGCCATCTTCCCTCTTTCCTCCTTCACCACACTTCCTCACCCCACAAGTCTCAAGATTACAGTCTTACACTGTAGCAGCAAGCATCCCTGAAACGTCGGTAATCCTCTACCAGACTAAACGGCGCAGTGGTCCAGAAGACAGTTATCTTCAGGCTAAGAATTTCGTGGTCAGTCTATAATGCTGGTTTCCTCATACCTCTGATGATGGAGGCAGCAGGAGCTAGCACCTCTGAAACGTCGGTAAATTTATACCAGATTACACGATGCAGCAACTCAGAATTCATTCATCTTCATGCCGAGATTTTCGTGGTCAATCCACTGGTTTAATTTTCCCTGATGAATAAGGCAGCAAGTACTTCTGAAACGACAGTAATCCTCTGCCTGAGCACATGGCGCAACATCCCAGAATACAGTTATCTTCACACTAAGACTTATGTGGTCAATCTATAATGCTGGTTGCCTCAAACTCCTGATGATAGAGGCAGCTACAACCTCTGAAACGTCAGTAACTTCTAACAGACTACACAGCACAAGATTTCAGAAGTTATAATCCTTCCAGACTATTTGCAGTCAATCAAAAATGCTGGTTTCCTCATCACCCAGATGAATGTTGCAGCAAACATCTGAAATATCAGTAAATTTCTACCAGACTGAATGCAGCAACAGTAGACAGTCATCTTCACCACAAGACTTGCAGTCTATCTATAAAGCTGGTTTTCCCATTGCCCTGAGGATGGAGGCAGGAAGCATCTCTGAAGCATTGGTAAACCTCTGCCAGATTATGTGGCACTACAACCCACAATTGCCACCATGAGAACCTGAAATTCAGCATAGAGTTTAGGTTCTCACAGCACTCAGAGGTCCATCTTCAGGTTGGTGAAGGTGGAGGTAGCAAGTACTTCTGAAACTACATGGTGTCACATCCCAGAGAACAGTCATCTTCATGCCCATTACTGCAAGCATCTGAAGTCTCACTGGTGTCTAATTTTCTGGCTGCTTCCATTTGTCATAATTTTGTTCAAATATCAAACCCAAGCAATATTGTACAGTTCATATTTAAACAGTATTACCTCTAGGTGAACTACCAACAGTCTGAAACTTTTTGATTATCATTGTACGTATTGGACGCTAGAAATACAAAATCTTATGTGAATAACAAGATCTGACCTGTATAGAATAATCCCACCTGTCTTACTGGGTAATAACTGCTTAGTAAATTTACAATCTCTTACCAAACTTAATGCTCAGCCATTTTACTAATATTACAAATAATGTATATTTTATTGCTGGTGTGTTGGCACCTTACTTAAAATACTGATCCGAGCAAAGGTAGTCCAGCCAGGATCAATTACTGAAGATGATGAAATTTATAACTATTTCAATTGGAGGATTTGGGAACTATTTCCTTTAATACTAAGAGCACCTGACACAGCCTTACCTTGGATAAATAATATAGGAATCTGATTCTTGCCACCATATTTAATTCTGTTAATTGTTAGAATTATAATATAATGAATGTGCTGGAAAACATGAGCAGTTAATCTCACCTTACCAAAATGTATTGCTCATGTGAAGGCTACTGTAGATTTAGCCATCTTTTCACAGAACATCATCTATCATCTATGCATTCTTTGCTTGAACAAATTATGGTCTGGGCTTGTCTGTCCAGCAGATTGGATTTGAAAGCTACTGGATGGATTTGGATGAAATTTGGTTGTGGAGGTTGTGCTATTCTGCACAACTTTAAAAATGAATTTTGAATATCCTATGAGCAGTAATAAAATGACAGATGAGGAAAGTCATGAGAGACACTGAGATGCTGTAATCTGTTGGTCAAAGTGGGAACTATCAAACAAGGTATCTTTAATACCCTTAAATGCACATTGTAAAGAATGAGGATATTATGGGTATTCTGATAAGGAATACATTTTCCAAGCTTATTTTATTTCAACAACAATTAGTATAAATCTTATAAATGTAAAACCAGATAGGACTCCATTGTTTGTGTGAGCCGTTGCTATTACAGCATTAATATTTCATTACCAGTTCTGGATGAAGCAAATACCACGTTTTATTGGTACCTATTTTCTAAAAGTAATGATATGTGGAGGCACCATTTTTACAGGAGCAGTCACAACATTTGTTCCCAAGTGTGCATTGTTTTTGGTGAAAGATGGCCATTTTGAAATTTGCTCCTCACTGAATTGGTTCAGGCTCCCATTTGGGGCATAAGGAAGAAAAGATGCAGGAATCTTCAGTCTGTGCTGATGAGAAGTCCTACACCATGGGAATGCTCATGTTTATCTATAGCCTCTGACTATGTTATGTGGGCATAGACAGGTGTATTTTTTGAATCTCTGCAGAAAATGTGAAGATGAGACAGGAGTGTAATAAATCTATTGGACCTTGTCTGTGTCTCAGCCAATTAGAAACAGCCTTCTTCAGTGCTCTCCTTCCTCCTCCTCCTCACCTCCTCTCATGTGCTGAAAAGAGTTCTTTCCTATTATCCCAGACATGACAAATATTCCTGAACCTCCTCCTAATCACCTAATTCCAAACTTTGTTCACTTCAACCCTGAAGATGGAAGCAAAATGTTCTTCCAAAATATCAGTATGCAGCCAAAAGCTACATGATATAACAATGCAGATAACCATAATATTTTCTCACAAAACACTGAAAACCTGAAATTCTATCAACTTGGTAAACTCCTGGTGACTACAGCAATATGGCAATGATGTGGTAGGAGTTAGCAAACGAAATGAAAAACACATGAGATGATTTCAGAAATGATGTGGATGATGTGTGAGAAATGTAGATGGTAAGATGATAGGAAGATCTGACCCCCCACCCCCCAATGCAAACTCCCAACCTCATTTTTGTGTATTTGCTGGAATGAAAGTGCAGTCACTAAACATCACGTTTGAGAAGAAGACACCTGTGGGCCGATGTACTTAACTCAGTATTTGTTGTGTTATGTTTAGTGACATAACGTTTGTTCCCACAAGATACTTTAGAAAGGAAACATTTTGTAATACACTTGCCTTATTGTGATTGATTCCTGATAAAAAATATATAAAACATTTTGGTGCATAGTATTCTGAGCTTGCCAGTCACAGTGGTCATGCGGTCTGAGGCGTGGGCCTTGTGTGCTTGGACATTGGGACCGTAGGTTCAAAATCTACTCAAGGCATGAATGTATTTCCATGTGTTTCTGTGCTGTGATGTCCTGTGTACAGGTAGAGGCCTTGCGATGGGCTGATCACTCATCCAAGGAGTCCTACCAAATGTCTAAATAGATCAAGAAACCTCTAAATGGTGGCCCCTATTGTCTACATAGGAGTAGAGAGAGAGAGAGAGAGAGAGAGATTTTGGGCTTGGGTGGGTGGTAGGTGGGCTGAATGAGGTAAGGTTGGGTTGATTAAGAACGTGTGTGAATAATAGGCTACTTCCAGTGTAATAATGTATAGAGATGATGTAAAAGGTTATACTTGATGAAGTGTGAACATGTATCTAGTTGTATGGAAGATGTACAGCCATTTTAACAAGGCAGTCACCTAGGGCAGCATAAAACATGTAAAAAAATGCAGGTTGTATGAAATGTTTACCATTTTACTGCAACATGAACTAAAAGGCAGAGTAAAGAAAACTAAAACACATTTGAGCACGTTTGTGATTGTGACCTGCATTTTATAAATGTTCAATGAGGGCATCATGAATGGCACAGCAGACATCATATCTGTATTTAGTTTCAGATCACAAATTATTAATCAAATCAAGGATAACTATAGCCGTTGCATATCTTGGCCTTCCAGCACTTTCTGGCAAAGTAGTAGCCAATGGTGCCATGCACACAGAATCTGTACCACAGTCACTAGTCTTGGAGCATACTGATGCAATTTGTGTCTCATTGTGTTTAGCTGTTTTATCTGTGTCTACTTCTCAGTTTCATAAGAATTTGAATGTATTTTGTTTGTGTCTGAAACCACCCACTGACACCAAGAACAAGTTTATGCTCAAACAATAGAAATGGTGGACATCTATAAATAAATTAATGGAAAATTACTCTGCAAATAATAATATAATATCATGAATAATGATAGGGATATGAAACTAATCTACTTTCCTCCAACAGTAATATAGACATATGATGCTGAGATGTTCAATATATTAAGTTCATATATATCAAACCAACTCTGTAAGCAACCGTACTTTATGAAATATGAAGACTGTTTCCAACATATATGGGCAGCATCTTTACTTAAAATTCAATAATTTTGCTTGTAGATCCTAGATATAATAAAGGACTATAAATAAATTATCTTGAAATAAAATGTCTTCAAAAGCAAATAAGACCAAGTGAGATTTCCAGTAAAAGTGCAAGACAGAGAACATGTGGGCTTGCTAATTGTCTGAGGCAATGTATCATATATGTGTTTGCAAGGACTTAATCAACATGCTGTAACAAATTCTTTCAGTGTAACTCTTTTATGATGCACTGATATTGCACATCACAGACTGCTATATCTATTTTTTTAAATCTTGAACTGCAAATGATTAAGGGTCTGTGTCCTCAAATACCTTAGCAGTTGCAAGTTCAAAATTCACATTCAACCTAATATCATTCAACAAGCCATACAATCTAGTTTTCTTTATTTCACAAAACTAAGCAATTTTCCACACTGGTAACATATGTAACTCACATATAGGAGGAATCCAGTTCATATATTGGACAGCATCCAAAAACAGACCATAACCATTTATTGTCATATTCTGCCTTATTCAGCAGTTTAGGCAGCATTATAAAACAAAACAAAAACAACCAACCAAAAAATCTTAACTGCATAAACCATTTGATTTAGGAAATAAAAGAATATTGCTCATTAATAATATATTCATACTTTGATTTTATAAATCTTTATAATGTATAAAATAACACATATATACCTGAACCACCTAGGCCTTAATAATCTTGTAACTGACTGACATCTACTGTGAATCAGAGTCACTCATTGCCCATGTATAATAGCACAAGTTGATAAATACTGCACCATGCCTCGTGAATGCCATGATAGGAAAATATGTTGCACAAATGGTACAGTTCAGCTTTTTGATCTTCCAAAAATTACTAAGCCACACTGACACACTTTTGGGTGAATCCAGCAAATGATGTAAAGCATTTAGTCACTGCATTTTACAAGTGCTTTAACACTGTGGCCAGAAGCAGTAAAGTATAGTGTGAAGCATATATTGTTGACTTCTAAAATGGATATTCAGGGTGGTTCTTGATCCTGAAACAAATAATTTTACATATGCTGAAAAGTTGATGCAAGCTTATAAATATAACTGAGTAAGAGAAATTAGGCTGTGCTCAATATAATAAGAGCTTATGTTAAAAGAAATTAAATTAAGACATTCACACTTAGCACTAAATATATTAATTATATATAAAATTACGCATTTTTCTTAAAAATAAAATTGTTCTGATATATTTTATGCAGACAAAGACAATGTATAATATCAGTGAGTCAAACAGTCTGTTTTCTGAATATACAGTTCCTTATAGAACTTATGTTAAAGTAATGTTTCCTTTAAGAGTCTAAGTAAAAGATTAGAAATAATGATTTCAGTTCTGTTAATCAGAAAAATTTACTTTTTTAAGAAGTATGAAAATAAAACTAAATGGTCTATCAAAGTGGAATAATGCTTTGCTTTTTACCAAATGGATTTTTTGTGTTATTATGGTCAAGTTTGGTTTACATGTTATCACTGTTTGAAAGGAATCATACATTAAATATAATATGTTCAAGTAACTGAATCAGCAATTTCAAAACAACATGAGTTCACAAAACTCCCTTTCAAGGAAATAAAAAAAAATCCAGTAAACACAGTATTAGTTTAATACCTGTTTTATTTTTACCCAAGAACAATCAGCAATTATCTGGGTTTTTGATACAGTTACAGTTCTGTAACATACTTTGATTTTAGAGTTTCTTTTTTGGTTTTGTTTCTACAAGTACTAACATAATATTGAAGGAAGTTTGCATGACCTCCTTTACAAGTACTGGGGTTACCTATAGTGAACTGCAGCACTCATTTCACCATGGGCTCTGTAATGTTACACACCAGGGTAAACAATTGTGATAAATTAGTTATACAACAGAATGTAGTAAAAATCTTATGTAGTAAAAGTTGATCTTACAGTTTAATTTTGCAAATAATTATTCTTATGTCTCCTTTTTTGTCTTGCCTGATCATAAAATAAAAGGCAAAAATTATTTTTTCACGTTCTTTGCAAACACTGGCAAAAATATTTTTCACATTGTTTATATTAAGCACAGTCCTCATTTTTAATTTCATACAAGACAGTAAATCACGTTCATATTAATTATCTGCATTGTAGTTACCCTTTGAAAAATCGAAAATCAAGTATCCTCCCATCTGATCCCTGATCCAGTTTGTTCAATGATACCACGTCCTCACTGCTCAGCTCAAAATCATGTATCTGCAACAAACTTACTGTGTTATTACTGCACCAGTACATCCAAGAAATTTAAAATATGAGGTTACTTTCTGCTGTGTGTTAAGGACTGGGCTAGACATTTAAAAATTGTTAAGTTTTACATTATAATTCAATACTGTACTTGAGGAAAATTTAAACATTTTTGGGCAGCACCATTACCATGAATACTTTAAAGGGATTCATAAACATACAACAGTTTTCATTTAGTATGGGTCAAAAAGATAAATAAAATAATGCTGATTGCTTGGTTGATTGGGATTTGAGGTACTCAAATCAGTGAAGTAATCAGTTGTGTAAGATTGTGGTCTCTGGGTAGTGACACTTGTGTAGTCATTCTAGACAAACACATCATATCTATCTTCCTTATACACTGAAGACAGATGGAACACTTTCCTCTGAAACATTACTGATAACCTACAAGACTATACGATGTCATAATCCAGAAGTCCATAACTATTGACTGGTTGACTGATTAGACAGATAAAAGGAATTCATACTTTTATATTCCACTATTCTGTGCAAGACTTAAAGTTCCCAGGTCAATCAATTTGTTACTTCATGATGCCCTTTCAACTGAAGAGGTTATAAAGAAACAAGTAAAATTGGATGATCACAATTTGTAAGCAGATGTGGATTTTGAAGAAAGTAGCCATGGGCTGAAGATTTCTGTCTTCTGGGTTGTTGCGCTGTGTAGTCTGGTCAATGTTAACCAACGTTTCAAAGGTCATACTGCCTCCATCATCAGGGTGATGAACGAGGCAGCATGACCTCTGAAACGTTGGTTAACATCGACCAGACTACACAGCGCAACAACCCAGAAGACAGAAATCTTCATACTCACCGCTGACCGTGGGCTATTTTAATATTTGGTCCTAGCATTTGCTTGGAAAGACTGAGGAAAACCATAATACAAATCTTCCCAAAGAGACAGTCTGAAAATACCAGTCATGATGGCTAGTAGCATGGTTGAGAAGTGGACCAGTATCTCACAAATACAAATCAGTGTGTTACAACTGCATCAAACAGGGTGGTACACATTTAGGACTATAGTTTCAAGTTGAGTTATGAGTTTTCACAGCACATGGTTTTTGTCCGGTTTGAGTAGCTGTTATAAAATGTCATCACCAAATTGCATGCTTCAAGGCCACAGAAGGATTCACCCTTCATACTGCATGGCTGCAAGTCAACAGTACAATTTTGATATGCTGCAAGTTCTGAATTGTCATCACTCTCTTCAGTAAGCAGTCACATTATCTCCAGTGGCATGTTTACTGTAAATCTTAATTTCTACAATAATTTATTTACCGTCTTTACACAAACTTAAAAATGTTGTAAAAATTACTTAAAATTATAACATTTTTTCATTAGATACTAGATATAAAAAAAAACTTAATTTCTACATTTTTCACAAGTTCATAATGTCTGTTATTAAATGTGTTAAATTGCTGTGAGTTGATATGAAGATCAACTTCAAATGGCCTTGGCTGTTACAACACCAGTGTAGCTGTGCAGATTGGGAATATCTGCTATTATAAATCACAATAAGAAGACTATTTACATGTAGAATTATTACAAACACATTTCCTAGCAACATGAACATTTAATTTAATTTTCACATTAAATACCTATAAAATAAGGTATTAAACTATCTGACAGACATGGTTCCAGTCATCATGCAAAATTACCATGTGTACACAACACAAAAACATACATTGAACTTTCTCATAGAGATAAAGATCGATTGAGATGTGGTTCTTGAAAATATAAAGTTTGAACCTTCAACTACATTTATTAGCCAGAATGTAGGTGGAAGGATGTGTAGAACATAAATTTGTAGCAAAGTATATTTTCTACTAGGGAGTGAAGAATAATTTGGAACAAAGATTTCTAATTTATTAAAATAATAAAATGTCATGGCAAATGTATCACGAAGGCATTGTTATATTAACAGAGATATGAGAAATGCAATAATCAAAATATGTCATTGATCCTATTATTATTATTATTATTAAGTGTTCTGTCTTACGACAGGTCCATTGCTCTGCCCAAAAAGAGCTCTCCAGTTGTCCCTATTCTCGGCTTCTCGCTTTAATTCCTGGAACGTCATCTTCTTTCCTTGTTTAAGGTCGTCAGTTAGCTGTATCAATCTTCTTCCTAGTCCTCTCTTTCCTTCAACCTGGCCTTAGGTACTAATAGTTGCAGATTTTAGTAACTGCTGCACAAAATATCGGAATTGGATGGTAACTGAATTCTCATTGCCAGAAGGTCTTCGTTGCAAGTATTTGTTTTATCTGGTTACAACAGTGTTGAGGTGAAAGTTTTCCGGTGACAGGTCTTGATAGTTGGTTCATCGTCTTCACCGTCTACGTCCAGACATTCTCTCATCCTCATCCATAAAGCCGGTGGGTTTGACTCGTGTATTTCTCTGAAACTGCCATCCCCTGTGTACTCGGAGGAGTCATTGACTGAATTATCTGCCACACGTCCCCAAGTCCGGAGTCAACCAGTTGGCTGGTCACGGCTGATGAAACTAATCTTTTTGCACGCCCGTTAGCTACCTGCGCGTTTGACACTTACAGCCTCCTGTCACACTTAGCCAAAAGTTGTTATAACAGCTCTCGCTGCACTGAAGCCGCTTCTCGTACGCGAGATCTCGCTACCCCCACTCAGGCCCAATTAAGCTGAGACTTTCTTTCCAAACAGAATTTTACTTCGTGCATTCTGTTACGTGCCGCCCAGGGCACGAGGCCCGCAGATTGGGGAGTCAGTGATCAAACACCAGTCGTCCTCGTGCTTTCTTTTTTTTTCTGTACGCGGTCAGTTTGTTTAATTTTCTATTTTTACTCCGCAGTAGTAGCGCCTGGTTTTCTACTTCCCTGCTGCAGGCAGTGATTACTGATTACTTTCAGAGCAAATAATAGAGCGTGCAGAAGGGTACAGTCACATTCATTCTGTATAGACCTGCTTCAGTCCTTGAACCAGTGAGGACTTCACGTCATCAATAACTAGTTTGAAAAGCCCGTTTGAAATTCAGCGGGGGCCGAGTTATTTCCTCATCAACTTTCTCCTTTCCTTTATCCCTTTTGTACTTTTAACCACTCACATCTTTTCTCTCGTGTTTCCTTCTCATTCCGTTTACATCTCAAGAGACATACGCCTAAATATGAAGAAATACCACCCGCACTACGTCTTTTACTACTAGCGACCGAAACGTCTTCACGCTCATTTTATCCTTATCAGAAGGACGAGCGGGCACTGCCTGGGGGCACGAAAGAGAGAGAAACGAGAAGCGTGAAGGTTTCGTGATCGGCGACTGAACTTCCCACGTGCTAATGCGATCACGAAGAAGGGACTCGTGTGTTCGACGGAATACCGGAGGACAGCAGGGACAGGTGTGTCGGCGATGACTGTACGTCAGTCGCCA